CTGGCGCTTGGATTTCCAACTCACTGCTCCACCTCCAAGGACAAAGACATATCCTGAGGTTGATTTCCGCTCATCAATATCCATTGCATAATTTGCATCTGAGTAGCCGGTAAGTAAGTTGCCATGGTGTTTGCTGAAGGTGATTCCCATGGATGCCGTTCCTTTGATATATCGCAAAATTCGCTTGACTGCTGTCCAGTGCTGCTTTCCATAATTGGAGTTGAATCTGGAGACTTCTCCCACTGCATTTGCAATGTCTGGTCTCGTCCCAATAGCCAAATAATTCAGGCTTCCAACAGCACTCTGATAGGGAATTTTCTCCATTTCCTTTTCCTCAGTCTTGGTCTTTGGACTCATTTTCTGAGAGAGTGTAACACTCAAATCCACAGGCGTTGTGACAGGGTTGCTGTCTTGCATATTGAAGGTTTTCAAGACTTCCTCAGCATATTTCTTTTGACAAATTGTGAGAGTGCCTTTGGCTCTGTCTCTCGTAATTTCAATCCCCAAGAAATAGCTTGTCTCACCCATATCAGTCATCTGGAACCTTTTGCGCATGTTCTCTTTGAACTTATTGATAGAGTCCAAATCCTTGCCAGTAATTATCAGATCATCAACATATACAGCAAGCAATAGGTTTGATTTTTTGCTTCTGTAAATGCCATAGTCATCGCTTGACTGAGAGAAACCGATCTGTAGCAAGTAATCATGCAGCAGCTCATTCCAGCATCGTGGTGCCTGCTTCAAACCATAAAGACTCCGCTGTAATCTCCATACTTTCTTGCTGTTCTGAAAATATCCCGGAGGAGGCTGCAAATAAATTTCCTCTTCCAATTTTCCATAGAGAAAAGCAGTCTTTATGTCCATCTGATGAATATGGTAGTCATTGATAGCAGCATGAGCCAAAAGGATCCTGATTGATTCAAATCTGACCACTGGTGCAAAGGTCTCATCAAAATCAATTCCATATTCTTGAGTGAATCCTCTGGCAACAATCCGAGCCTTGTATTTTGTGAGCTGGCCATCCTTGCCATATTTCTTCTTGAAAACCCATTTGGAAGTAATTGCTTTTCTCCCACTAGGTAGCTCACTCCATCTCCACACTTGATTTTCTTGTAGAGAATTCAGCTCGTCCTCGCAAGCCTTGCTCCAGTGTAACCATTCTGGGCTTGCCTTTGCCTGCTGAATTGTCACTGGCTCTGCCGTATCTTTTGTCCTGACTGCCCATGCTTGAAGACTGAGTGGATCCTCAGACTCACTTCTGTCGCTCCTGTCGAGAATCATTCGATCGCTGTTGATCCTGTTGCCGTCGAGCCTTCGTTTCTTTGAATTTTCTCTGATGAATCGAGCATCATCGCCGTCTGACTCTTCTTTGTCGAGATCCATCTCATCGTCTTCCTCATTGTTGTCCTCATAATCGTAGTCATTGAAATCGAATATTTTGAGAGTGCCCTGGGAGTTTCTTTCATCCCTTGCAATTCGCTGTCTGATTCGTTCCTCAATGGCGTCCACATCACGGATTTGCCGTCTTCTCGGCCCTTGGTCCTCATTGCGAGTAACGACTCGCATCTCTCCTTGATTTTCCTCCAAGTCGTGATCAATTTCCATGTCTTCAGACTCCTGAGCCTCGACCGACTCATCCTGAACATCCTCAGCTGGTTCATCATTTTCTCTTCTCCCACTTGATCTATTATCTTCTGATGATAGAGCACTGGATGGATGATGAACTCGAGGCCAAAAACCAATACTGGCTCCAAGTTGTTCAACTGTAACTTCTGAAGATCTTTCCAACCCGCTATCCAAGCGTGCAGGCTTGTACCAATCAAGCCCCAATGTTGTCTCATCGAAGACAACATCTCTGGCAAAAGTTACCCCTCGTGATGGGATATAAATCCTGTATGCCTTTTTGTTTGCAGCATAGCCAACCATCACTCCTCGGATTCCTTTTGGGGAAAACTTGCCACCAGCCTGAGTTTTCGATTTGTGAATCCATGCCGTACTTCCAAAGACCCGGAAGTAGGAAACATCAGGCTTCCTGCCAAACCAGAGCTCATAGGGTGTTGTGTTGGGCGCTATAGCTCTGCTAGTGATCCGATTTGCGACATGAACCGCGCATTTGATCGCTTCTGGCCAAAACTTTTCCGGCATTTTTGCCTCGATCAACATGCTCAATGCTTTCTCAATTAAAGTCCGATTCATTCGCTCAGCGACGCCGTTCTGTTGAGGAGTCTCTGCAACAGTAGTCTGGTGCTCAATTCCTTGTTCATCCAGGAATTTCTCCAGATCTTTCGAGGTGTATTCGCCGCCATTGTCTGACCTAAGGGTCACCATTGTCTGTCCTAGTTTGTTGCTAGACTGACGAATATACGTCCTGATATCCTCTGCCGCGTCCGACTTATTTTCCAAGAAGTAGACATTCACATAATGTGAGTAGTCATCGATCATTGTCATGAAATACTTCTCACCAGTCAAGGAATTGTAGACTGGTCCACAAACATCGGTATGAACGAGTTCCAGTGGACGCGTCGTCTTGGTAGTGCTTTCCTTGTATGGTAGTCGATGAGATTTCGCAGCAGCGCAAGTATTGCACTTGCAACTTGAGATGTGAGTGTCAAGACCTTTGACAGTGCTGTGTCTTTGCATCTGCTCCAGGATCTGATCAGAGACATGTCCGAGTCTCTGATGCCATATAGAACTGACTGCATTGATTTTGTTGATATCAATTTCAGCAAACTGTCCATCAAACCGGCACAGCTCTTCGAACTTTGAGCGTGTTCCGATCTTGATCTTCTGTCCTTCCGAGGTGCTCACAAAACACTTCAGCCCTGCATCAATTGTCCAAACATCTGAATCCTTGCTCAGCATGCTGGTAGATACAAGACCCATCTTCGCTTCAGGCACATGCAGTACATTCTTGAGAGGCACAGTGTATTCCTTTCCTCTGTCCTGGACTTTGGCAAAGGCATTTCCTTGTCCCACTGCTCTCATATACTGCCCATTAGCAACCTCTAATATTGCTTCCAGAGGTTGATAATCCTGGAGAACGGCTCTGTTGGATGTAATGTGCCTGGTGGCTCCCATGTCGATGAACCACCCACTATCCTCAAGCCTTCCAGACTGATTTCCTGCCACCAACCCTGCCCTTTCCACCCGCTGTTCAGCACCGAGGTTGCTGTTAACCACAGCTGCATGGATCTTGAACTTGTTGTCCTTGTTCTGATCCTTTCCTTTAGGGCAGTCTCTCTTGAAGTGGCCTTCCTTTCCACACTTATAACACTTCAGTTTCTTCTTCCCTGAGTCTTTCACTGCAAGCAAGCTACCTCTGCCTTGGTTTCCTTGAGGCTTCCTGGTCAGGGAGGTCCTGACTCCACTGAAGACATCCTGGACTGTGAGCGTATCCTTCTGCTGCTCAAGGACTGAGATAGTGCCCTCAAGTGCATCTGGGAAAGATCTGAGGAGAATGGAGGCATAGACATCTTGAAGTTTGACATCTAGCTGGTCCATCTGCTCAAGAACCCCCATAAACTCACGCTCATAGGACTCAAAGGCTTCAAGTGTTGCTTCCTCCAACTTGAGGAACAACAACTTGGCCACCAAAGAGGCTTTGACTCCTGCTGCATCACTCATGTATACACCCTGAAGATTTTTCCAAGCCTTCCTAGCATTACCGCATTTCAAGTGCCGATAATCCTTGACTTGTACCGCGCCCATCATCAATATAAGAGCCTGTCTGTTGATTGACTCAAAGTGGGGATCCTCCTCTTGTGACTTTATGTCAAGGTCACTCAAAGGTGTGCCCACAACTCCCCACAGGCCCTTCTGCTCCATCACCATCCTCAAGGCAAAAGCCCATTCAGAGTAGTTGAGAGCATTAAGGATTGGTAACTTCAAAGAGTCATTGCCAGGGCTCATAACCTGTTGCAAATTGTCTTTGCCAGTGGAAGTTCCAGACATATTGAAGTTGTCAGAGTTATCCATTGATGATGATATTCCTTAAGTGTGCTTTGATAGATAATATGATATGTTGTTGATTGAATGATATGTACAAAACAAGGGAGGGAGCTGGTCAATATATAGACAAAATAAGTTCATACAAAATTTATACAAAGTTCTTCAAGTATCATCTGATCAGTCATCTGACCAGTCATCTGATCAGTCATCTGATCTTTCCAGATCATTCCAGCTCCTTCCAGATCCTTCCAGCTCCTTCTAGCTGCTTCCAGTTCTTTCCAGTTCCTTCTGGTTCCTTCCGGTAGATTCCAGTTGCTTCCGGTCCCTTCTAGCTGTTTCCAGTTGCTTCTGGTTCCACCTAGTAATTTCCTTAGGGTTTCTGTTCCCTCCAAGGAAACCCTTGATCCTGCTGCATAATGGAACACTATTTTCAACAAAAATAAGATCATACAAAGTTCTTCAAGTATCATCTGATCAGTCATCTGACCAGTCATCTGATCAGTCATCTGATCTTTCCAGATCATTCCAGCTCCTTCCAGCTCCTTCTAGCTCCTTCTAGCTGCTTCTAGCTGCTTCCAGTTCCTTCCAGTTTCTTCCAGTTCCTTCTAGTTCCTTCTGATAGATTCCAGTTGCTTCCGGTCCCTTCTAGCTGTTTCCAGTTGCTTCTGGTTCCACCTAGTAATTTCCTTAGGGTTTCTGTTCCCTCCAAGGAAACCCTTGATCCTGCTGCATAATGGAACACTATTTTCAACACATTCCATACCAACCAACCATGGAAACCGGAAACCGATTCAAAAGAAGATCGAATAATCTTGGCTATCAAAGCTCTTGATAGAGATGAAAATTTGAGCTTTCGAAGTGCTGCAAGGTTATATGAGGTCGCTGAAAGCACCTTCTGCGCCAGAAAAAACGGTCGAACCGCTCAACAAGATAGACACTCCAATTTGGCGAGATTGAGCATAATAGAAGAAGAGACTGTCATCAAGTACATTATCAACTTGGACGAGCGAGGAAGGCATCCTATGCTGGCAAACATGATGCGTGTGGTGAACGGTTTGCTGGCAGAGCTTGGTAAGGCGCGGCACTAGTAATGCCGAGATCATTGGTTCAAATCCGATAGGAGGCAATATTTTTGCTTTTTTTTATTTCTCTGTTAGTTATTAAGAGTATGTCTTTGTGTGTGCGTTCATTTTTGCATGGGTGAGTGAGTGCTTTGCACGGGAGGGAAGGGTGAGTGGGTTGGGTGGAAAGCGGTGAGGTGCATTAGATTGATGATGATGATGATGATGAATCTTTTTATTATAGTCTATTTGCAACAACTAGGTTATGACAGACTGTCTCCAACTTCTTCCGCCAATTTTTTTATCTCCATTTTTCTAATCCAACTTCTATTTTTCCGTTCCCCTGATAGGATATCCAAGTATGCCTGCCTGAAGTGGATTACAAGCTATCCAGTAGGTGCTTTCAGTTCAACCATTGCCAGAAAGGGAAGGCGTGTAGTAAAGTCCATAGTATTATCCATAAAATCCGGGGGATCTCATTTCTTTCACCGCTTTGTAGTAAACTTGGTGCTACTGCAGTGGGGGGTTCAATATAAATTTTGCAACCAAGACCATTTTTTGCTGAAAATTATCAAGGTGAAAATTGGGGATGATGATGATGATGATGATAAATCTCTGTTTTAAGTTTGTTGCAACAACTAGGTTATGACAGACTAACACCTCCTTCACCACTATATAATAAAACAAAATAGATCCTAAGATCGTGTCACAATAACAAATAAGTCAATAACAAATAAATCTCCATGTCAAAAATAACACAAAGAAATTTCGCAAAATTCACTATAACATGTTTCAAATAAAAGATAAAAGTCCAAAACAAATTCAATAATAACCCTCCTAGCTATCAACTTCCTTAAGAGACCTCGCTGCTACTCCTCCTCCTCAATACTGGCGATCCCCGCTCTCAAATCCACCAGAAAATTGATCCATAACTCATCCCTCTGGCTCTTAGTGAGAGACTTGTGCTGATGATACCAGTGACCAGTGCCAACATGGGTCTTCTGAATATATTTGATGTGTTGAAATTCACAATTTCTTGTTGTGCCTACAAACCTTTTTCATAGGGTTTTATATTATTTTTATTGATTTTATTATATTTATTGTGTTGAAAGTGTTGATGTGGAAAGAGAGTTTTTATTATGTGCGGCTGCTGTGCGGCTCAAAACGCTCACCAAGTTTTTGTTATGTCTTTGAACTTTGAGCCGCACCCTTTTGTGCTTATAAGGAGCCTCTCCCTTCCACCTTTCCTACTCGCTATCGGTCTTACTCCTTACTATTCCGGGCTACTCCCGTTCTCTTGTTTATTGTTTACTTATCCACGAGTAGGTAAGTTATGCTATCAGTCTTACTCCTTACTATTCCGGGCTACTCCCGTTCTCTTGTTTATTGTTTACTGATCCACGAGTAGCCCTCCGAATATATTCATTCTTCACTATAATTTGACACTATGAGTTCCTCTACCGCTAGTAGACCTTCTTCTGCTGCTGCCATTGGAGAACTTATGTCTGCAAAGGCAGTAGAACTTCAACAAATATAAATTTTGCAACCAAGACCATTTCATGCTGAAAATTATCCAGGTGAAAATTGGGGGTGTTCAATATTAGGCCAAAATCCAGGAAAAGCTCACAAGCGGGGCTCGAACCGTGGATCTTAAGGGAGCAATGCAGCGGCCATACCGCTGGGCCATATCACTGCTCTCTTCAAAAGTTGGGTGGTTATGATGCGGTTGTTAAGCTTTCTGAACAAGCTAAACCCGCTATTGCTTTGAGTGTTACTTCTAGTGATGATAATGGAACTATTCTTGACTGCTATCTGGACTCTGCTTCAACTCACCACGTAGTCAACACAAAAGATTTTTTCACTTCCTTTGCCTCCTCGGCGGGTACTCTCCGTGGCGTTGGTTCCCTTCCTATCCTTGGTCGTGGCGCAGTTACCTTCCGCCTCGGCTCGCGTACGGTCTCTCTCTCGAACTGTCTCTACGTTCCTGGTCTACCGTTCAATCTCCTAAGCATCATTAAGCTCGTTGAACACGGTTCCGAAGCTACGTTGAAAGGAGACACTGCTTACCTTGACGGCGAAGTCATTGGCAAGCGGGTTGGAAATTCTCTCTTCTCTACGGGTCTCATTGCGCTGAACTCCGACAAAGCGGATAAGGTTTTCTCGCTTATCTCCGCGGCGTCGACCAGCGCTGCTGCCTTACTATGGCACGCTCGCTTGGGCCATCCGCATTTTCAAACCTTGAAGAAAATTTTTCAACGCTGCCCGCTCGACGTTCCCGCCTCTGCCTTTGGTCCTCACCCTTGCTCGACTTGCGCTGTTTCGAAGCTTACTCAGCGCAAGCCCAAGGTGGCTCACAATCGCGCTACCCAACTGCTCCAACTCCTTCACGTTGATCTCTGTGGTTCCTTCCGCTACGATGAATACGCCTTCAACAAATATTTTCTCACTATTGTTGATGACTATTCTCGTGCTCTTTTTGTCTATCCTCTTGCACAAAAGTCGGATGCTGCCTCCCAATTGATTTCCTTCATCAATCATCAGGAGCGCGACTTCCATGCTCACGGCGCTTATCTTGTGACTCAAGTTCGCACTGACAACGGCGGTGAATTTGTGAACCGTGATCTCACAACTTTCCTTGAGGCTAAGGGTATTGAACATCAACTTACCGTTCCTCACCAGTCCTATCAAAATGGTGTTGCTGAACGCACTCATCGCACTTTGCAAGAGTTCTCTCGCGCCCTTCTCATCGGCGGTCACGTGCCTGTTCACTTCTGGTCTGAGGCTGTTACTACTGCTGCTCATCTCCTCAATCGCCTTCCTCGTGCCGAGTCAGTCACCTCTCCTTACGAACTCTGGACTGGTTCTCTCCCTGATCTCACCCGCCTTCGTGTCTTCGGTTGCGCTGCTTATCCGCTCGTTCCTATCTCTCAACGCGACGGAAAATTTGCTCCGGTTAGTGCTTCTTGTGTGTTTATGGGCTATGAACGGCATCGTAAAGCCTATCGTCTCTATGATCCGCGTACCAACCAGATTGTCGTCTCCAGTCAGGTCCGCTTTCACGAGTCCGTCTTCCCTTTTGCCGTCGACTCATCCTTGCGCTCTGCTCTTCCCTCACCCGAGGAGCTGAGTTTGCCCGGTGGTGTGTCTTCCTCTCGTCCTCCTGTTGGAGTCGGATCGATTCCTGCTGCTACTTTGCCCTCGTTCAAACCCGTCTCTCCACCGTCCTCGCCCGAGTCTTCTGCACCTGAGCCTGAGTCCTTCTCGCCTGAGCCTTCCTCGTCGGATCCTCCCTCCGAGTCTGGTTCTTCGCCTTCGCCTGAGTCCCCTGAGATCGAGCCTCTCTCATCTCCGTCTCCGTCTCCCGAGTCCTCCCCCGCACCATCATCTTCTCCCTCCCCTGAGCCTACCTGGACCCCGTGTCCTCCGCCTCGCGTCTCACGGCCCTCCCCGTCACCGTCGCCAGTCTTGTCGCCTGCATCGTCCGGTCGTTCTCCCAGCCCCTTGCCCTCGCCCTCTATGCCTCTGTCTCAGTCCCCTCCTCCTTCGTCCGCTGATGAGATTGACTTCCTTACTCTCTCTCACCACGTTGTTGAAAATAGTGTTCCATTATGCAGCAGGATCAAGGGTTTCCTTGGAGGGAACAGAAACCCTAAGGAAATTACTAGGTGGAACCAGAAGCAACTGGAAACAGCTAGAAGGGACCGGAAGCAACTGGAATCTACCGGAAGGAACCAGAAGGAACTGGAAAGAACTGGAAGCAGCTAGAAGGAGCTGGAAGGATCTGGAAGGAGCTGGAATGATCTGGAAAGATCAGATGACTGATCAGATGACTGGTCAGATGACTGATCAGATGATACTTGAAGAACTTTGTATAAATTTTGTATGAACTTATTTTGTCTATATATTGACCAGCTCCCTCCCTTGTTTTGTACATATCATTCAATCAACAACATATCATATTATCTATCAAAGCACACTTAAGGAATATCATCATCAATGGATAACTCTGACAACTTCAATATGTCTGGAACTTCCACTGGCAAAGACAATTTGCAACAGGTTATGAGCCCTGGCAATGACTCTTTGAAGTTACCAATCCTTAATGCTCTCAACTACTCTGAATGGGCTTTTGCCTTGAGGATGGTGATGGAGCAGAAGGGCCTGTGGGGAGTTGTGGGCACACCTTTGAGTGACCTTGACATAAAGTCACAAGAGGAGGATCCCCACTTTGAGTCAATCAACAGACAGGCTCTTATATTGATGATGGGCGCGGTACAAGTCAAGGATTATCGGCACTTGAAATGCGGTAATGCTAGGAAGGCTTGGAAAAATCTTCAGGGTGTATACATGAGTGATGCAGCAGGAGTCAAAGCCTCTTTGGTGGCCAAGTTGTTGTTCCTCAAGTTGGAGGAAGCAACACTTGAAGCCTTTGAGTCCTATGAGCGTGAGTTTATGGGGGTTCTTGAGCAGATGGACCAGCTAGATGTCAAACTTCAAGATGTCTATGCCTCCATTCTCCTCAGATCTTTCCCAGATGCACTTGAGGGCACTATCTCAGTCCTTGAGCAGCAGAAGGATACGCTCACAGTCCAGGATGTCTTCAGTGGAGTCAGGACCTCCCTGACCAGGAAGCCTCAAGGAAACCAAGGCAGAGGTAGCTTGCTTGCAGTGAAAGACTCAGGGAAGAAGAAACTGAAGTGTTATAAGTGTGGAAAGGAAGGCCACTTCAAGAGAGACTGCCCTAAAGGAAAGGATCAGAACAAGGACAACAAGTTCAAGATCCATGCAGCTGTGGTTAACAGCAACCTCGGTGCTGAACAGCGGGTGGAAAGGGCAGGGTTGGTGGCAGGAAATCAGTCTGGAAGGCTTGAGGATAGTGGGTGGTTCATCGACATGGGAGCCACCAGGCACATTACATCCAACAGAGCCGTTCTCCAGGATTATCAACCTCTGGAAGCAATATTAGAGGTTGCTAATGGGCAGTATATGAGAGCAGTGGGACAAGGAAATGCCTTTGCCAAAGTCCAGGACAGAGGAAAGGAATACACTGTGCCTCTCAAGAATG